GATCCATTTTCTCAGACTACACCACCATAAAATTAGAAATCAGCAATAGGAAGTGCAAGGACAAAAAAACAAATTCATGGAAACTAAACACACTGCTTAAAGTTTTCTGTACTGGGTAACTGATGAAATTTTAAAATTCCTTGAAACAAGTAAGAATGAAAACACAACATACCCAAATCTTTGGGACACGGTAAAAGCAATAATGAGAGGGCAGTTGCTAGCAATAATTGCACACATGAAAAAAGAAGACAGAACCAACGTCAATACCTTAACCCGGCAGCATCTTCGATAACTAGACCATGAGCAGCAAAATCAACCTTCCCTCACCAAGAGAAAAGAATCACAAAGATTAGAACTGATGTAAAGTGGAAAACAGAAAAAAAATCATCAAGACAAAATGTTGGATCTTTGAAACGATTCACAAAATTGACAAATCACTAGCAAACTTAATAAAGGAAAATAAGGAGAAGAAGCAGATATCAATAATAGTGAGGAAATAGGTGTCATCACAACAAATTCAAACAAAAGTTTTAAACAATAACATATTACCATGAAAGACTACACCCCAATGAATTTGAAAACCTAGAGGAAATGGACAAATTTCTGGGAATGCACTATCCACGAGATGGAAAATCTCAACAAAAAAAGAAATATATCAATCAGGTCATTAAAAAACTATACCAACAAGGTGGGTAAACCAGGTGGAGTAACTGGTCATCAGGGAAAAATGCTTAACAATACTCCTATAATACCCCAGGGGAGAATATGCCCAGAATATGTTCCTAAGTGGACACTTTTGACCTAGTCTCTATCCAGCCCTTGGTGATCCAGACCATGTGCTATAGACTAGGACTTTAGACTCTGCTCGTGAGGAGCCCAACAACCTTCATAGGCCACACAAGAAGGGTTTGATGTGGGCTTTTCCTTAAGGAACTGATATACTCCTTTAGACTGAAGGTGTCAATGCCCTAGTGTGAGAAGACGCAGACGACCACATTCCCAAAGTTACACGTATCAATCAATGTAAACAGAAATTTGACAACATCCAGCACCCATGCCTCATAAAAACACTCAGAAAACTAGAAATCGAAGGGAATTTCTCAACACTATAGACCATATATGAAAAAAATCAATGACCACCATCTCACTCCACAGGGAAAACTTACCTTTGCCACCTGCAAGCAGGAACCAAAGACATTCCTTCACCCACTCTTACTCAATATGGTTTTGAACTCTTAGCTAAAGCTAGTACACAACACAGAGAAATCAAAGGAATCCAGAGTGTCAGAGAAGTGCAACTCCCACTATTTGCAAATGATGGGATCTTCTATATACAATAACTATATATATATATATATATATATTGTTGCAAACAACTGAGAGGTTCTGAGGCTTGAGATAAAACAAATTTCTTTTTTTTGTTAGTGCGATACTGCACCCTGGAACTTATATATATATTTTTTCATTAAATAATCACTTTATTAGGGGCTCATACAACTCATCACAATCTGTACATA